AAACTTTGGCTAACATTATTCTTGCCTAAGCAAATCAAAGGCCTCGTGAGCGGAGACGATCAAGCGGGAGAGCAAAGTGATGAGAAAGGGCGATGGCGAATATCACGCGTCGTTTGAAGGCAAGTGCCACTGCTATAAAGCGTGACTAACATGAAAGCGAATGGACAAGGTGCCACGGTGTTTAGCCATCAAGCAGTGTGCCCGTTCCCGATAGCGTACCTGATTTTTAAGAAGTACCAACGCAGGACAACCATGCGGAGAACGTTTCCCGTGAAATTTACTTCTTTTTCAATTTTCTCTGTTGCTGAAACTAGGCGCAGCTATTGTAACCGACATCTTTTGGGAATATCTTTTGGGAAAAAACTCACGAATGAGGTAGATCTTAGGCATGACATTTCTGTCCAAAAAAAATGACCAAATGAATCATCGCAACTACCGCCAGATTTGCTTAATGACCGTTTTCCACAATTTCCCAAGAAAGAAGTTTGACTCTGGCCAAATGCTAATGCAGATGGAACGTAGAAATCCTAAGCTGTTCGGAAACTAATGCAGGCTTCTTAACCTGCATCTTTAAAATGGCAAAACCTAGCTGAAAATAAACCTTGTTAATGCAAAGAAGAGCGTGTGGCGCAGTTGTCGGAAGCACCCTGCAATGCACATGGGATCGATGCACACCAGGATAATCAAGCCTTCCGTCTTTCCGAAGTTGCAAATTAGTATCAGACTTGCCTGGGAGAATATCATCTCCGGCTCGATACATCGGTAGGTCACCATGAATCATTGTAAATGCCAGATATGCATCCATTCACCTCCAACGATGCTTAATGAAGCCGAATGCATGACGCATCCCTCAGGGATTGATCGACGCCAAGATCTCTGTCCTTTATTACCTTTTTTATTTTGTTCCACCAAAGCCTTCAATTCATCGTCGTAAACAGAAGAAGAAAGCCCGCTATTTTCCTTAACTTGACATCGACTTTCCCCACAACGGAATTTTGGAAACCAATGTGGCATTGTACATTTGTTAAAACTTCTTTGGCCCAATATCTCAATAATATTTCGAGGTTTTTACGTTATGTCCGTCCGAGTTTGGATTCGTAAAATTAAATTTGGCCAAATTGTTGTTTTGAAATCTCAATTTCCAGTATAAGGAACTTGTAGAAAGTACACTTTACACTATAATTAAACTATATAGTGGCGTGTGGCGCAGTGGTTGGAGGCGCCCTGCATCACACGCGTGGAATCGATCCAAGCGTCCACGGCTCACCAAGACTTCCATCCCTCTGGAGTCGGCAAATTGGTACCCGACTTGTCTGGGAGGATAGCAGCATTGGCTCAATACATCGGAAGGCCAATGCGATTCATTGTAAAAGCCAGATATGCAACAAATCACCTCTAGACGATGCTTAATGAAGTCGAATGCATGGCACATCCCATCCCCGTTTTGCAGTACACGATCCTCTTCGGTTGAAACGACAAGAGCATATACATTTATAGAAAACAACGTGCAAGTCTTCTTCTTGCTGAAACAACGCCGCATTTTAGAGAAATGCCAATAACATTGAGACAACGCTCACAGCACTCATATAAGTAGGAGAAAAGTGTAGGATTGTACAGAAATCGAAAGAAAGCACAATTTTCGAAGATTCTATAGTTCAACGGTAAACAGATTTAATGCTTACGTTATTAGCTTAAGCATACCCTACGCGTACGTAGGGCGCTCAACGAGTTCTCGAAAACGAGATTGAAGAAACAAATAAAGAATTATGCAAAACGTGCGCAGAACAAGGCGCATCGGTCACCTATTGAAGTATGACCGAGCAGAAAATACGACCTCAAGCCGGACTACGTGACTCCGACCTTCGAAAGCTGTTCCATTCCGTAGATCGAGAGCAAGACACTTCGAAAGAGAAAAGTAGATAAACCGGTCATGCATTAAAAGTACCTATTTGACGGAAGATAGGTGAGAATAACAGCAAGGCGAATTTCAAGAAGATGAAAGAGCCCTCAGAAGCAACCACTTACATACTGGCCGAACATACTTGTGGATCACGTCAGCTAGAGTAGACCACTAGACTAGTAGAGTAGACACAGTTAAAAACGATCCATGTGTCACCGAATGGTACTGAAACACGTCGAATTGGAACACCATTTTGAAGCACAATGTCGATAGAAATAAGTGTCCTTTTGGGGGCCCTTATTGCTCATGAAAAATCAGAGTTGAGGTGACATCCAACCAACTGAGAAGACGCGATTCTCACAGTGGTTCTATTGCAAAGATACAACCAAACCTCTGTTTATGTCATGTGATTTCATTTGGAGTACGATCACCCCGTTGTTCCAACCTCTAAGTAAGATATTTGAACGTGTCAGAAAAAATATTTAACCATCATCGACTATCGGCCAAAATTACTGCGCTCTCATTACAGACCCGGCTAACTTACACTGATGGAAATTAGGCAGGAACACAAAAGACTCATTAACCCATTTGCGACGGTATGGACACTATAACAATATAGTGTCCGTTTTCAATCCGGGGTGTTCCATAACCTGTTTGCCACACTGTGTTTATTAATTATTTTATTTTTCGTAGAATGCTGGTTGAGTCGCTTCCCACTGGAGTCCTGAGATAATCGGCCACAGCGTTGGATTGCAGACAGTGATTTCTTCCCGGACAAGACCGGTACCAATTTCCCAATCCCGGAAGTGTCGGGTGAGCGCGGCATGGGATCGAACCAACACCATGATCTTGATGACCGGCAAGACTACTCTCTGCCCCTATATTCATACGATAAAAGGATAAAGGATAAAGCTCTCGGCGTTGATCAATCCCTAAATGATGCAAATGATGCACCAAGCATTCCACTACATTAAGCATCATTTGGAGGTGATTGAATGCATATCTGGCCTTTACAATGACTCGCGCTGGCCTATCGATGTATCGATCCAGTGCTGCTATCCTCGCAGACAAGTCTGGTGCCAATTTGCCGACCCCAGCGGGATGGAAGGCTTGGTGAGCCGTGGGCGCGAGAATCGATTCCACGTGTGCGTCGCCGTGGCGCCTCCAATCACTGCGCCACGCGCGACCATTAATACGATAGCTATTCGAAAGCAGATCAGAATAGGAAAGGTGATACCAGAAAAACCACTCATTTACAATTAATGATTTATAGAAAACTTCCTTTCGAAAAAGTAAATTGACTTGTAAGTTAAAATGTTACTCATTTTAGTCGCCATGGCTGTTATACAGGGGCGCGTGTAGCGCCGTCGTCGGAGGCACCCTGCTACACATGGGATCGACCCTCGAGCCCCGTGGACACCAAGCCTTCCATCTCTCCGGGATTAGCAAATTGCTACCAGACTTGTCGGGAGGATTGCAGCACTAGCTCGATACATTGGTAGGCCACCGCAAGTCATTGTGAAGGCCAGATATGCATTCAATCACCTTAAACGGTGCTTAATGAAGTCGAATGCATGGCGCATACCTCAGCGACTGATCAACGCCGAGACCTTTTTACCCCTTTATGGCTATTATGTGGGATACGCTGGTATAAAAATACCGAAATAGACAAAACGTATGACGCAAAATACTCCTAGATGCTTAAAGCAAAGTGTCTACATGATGAAGCAAAGTAATAAATGCTGAGTAGTAGCATAAATACCATTCACACCCATAGAACGATAGAGGAAAGTCTCTTCCACTATCGTCATGCGTAATTCAAAAACTGGTGTAGTGGGTAACACTTGAGCCCCAAGAAAGTGTAATGAGGTTTGGATCTGGCCAGTGATCCGAGTTCTTCAAAGATCTCCGTATCACAGTGATTGTATTTCACATAATAGCTTTGCATAGAAAATGATAAACAATAAATGGAAGTTGTACATTATTCAAAAACCACTTATTCTTGTTAAAAATAGTAAAGTCTACAGCTGACGTGAAATTATTCATATTCCATTGGTTCACCCACAAACAAAAATGGGTCGCCGTCGTAGATGGAGAAGACGATAAAGGATAGAGCTTTCGGCGTTGATCAAGCCCTGAGGGATGCGCCATGCATTCGACTTCATTAAGCATCGTCAGAGGTTAGTGAATGCATACCTGGCTTTTACAATGAGTCGCGTTGGCCTACTGATGTGTTGAGTCAGTGTTGCTAGCGTCCCAGACAAGTCTATTACTAATTTGCCGACCCCGGAGGGATGGAGGATGGGTGAGTCTGCGGCGTAGGGATCGATCCCGTGTGTATTGCAGGACGCCTCCGACCACTGCGCTACACACGCATTCGTCGGTAATAACCAAAAAGCAAATTGAATCAACGACCGGAATACCGAAGTCATATAGGGAGCTCTGAGTTGCAGAACTACCAGATGTCTTCATCTTCAGAGAAAAATTGAAGTTTAACAGATATTCAAAGGTTTTCACTCACACCATCAATGGACGAGCAAGATTCTTCAGCGCCTTTAACAGGCCTATATGATAGTGACGAACATAACGGGATGTTCGTCGTTACTGGTAAACGCCAATTTACAAACAAAAAAATCCCACTGTAAACCCATTAAGAAGTTGACCTACGTCCTGAAGGCCCTCTGCGACTGCGAATGTCGACATTCTTGCAGTTGCATTGTAAACTCGTCCGTAATCGGCGTCGAATAGGCCAATTTGGTAGACAGGAATAGCTCTGCTAGCCTCTTTTTAACCGCTTTGTACGAGTTTTCCGCATCCTTCACGGTATTTACTTATTTCGTGGGGACATTGTAAGGGCTACTTTTTCTTACCTTCTGAGGATTCCCAACTAGGTTCCTGTTCCGCTTCAATCTGGGTTAGTTTTTTTTGTTTTGAATTTCAGTTTTATTTATTCTGGATGGCTGTTCGTCGTGGATATGCGTCTTTCACGTTATCGATTTCCAAATCCTCAAACACCATTGCTGTCTTCAGAGCACGTGAATTCTAACATGAAGTTCTCATTCGGAATTCCTAGCAGTACTTCATAATTCGATGTGCTACTGATCTGTTCATTGAGATGGCTGACCCTCCGGTAGAAATAAACGTTGACGTAGAAGTTCCGTTGCAAAATCAGCAACAAAATCGAAACGGAAATGGAAGAGCTCAAGCACAGGTGGGGTAATGCTGATTTCAGGTCACCTCACGAGATCACTGCTCTTCTAGTAAGCTAAGTTCTTGTCAGTCTCTGTTTTCGTTCCAGAACAACACTTTTGGAGTCGTTCGTGATCGACTGTTTCATGCGATGCTTGTTAAAGTTGCTCTGAGTTACAGCTCTCATGTTAGCACGTTTTGGCGACGAGTTATTGAATTCGTTTCGCTGTTGATAGTAAGTTTTTCAATCGTTCATCCTTTATAATCGTCCTTTTCTTTTCTTCCTTAAGGCAGTTTGCTTACTGTTCACGTTGCTGTTCGTTCACTTGATGTTCACCCGCTCGTCAACGACTTGTCTTGATCATCTTCGTGACTCGTGGCCCAGAGACGGTAAATTTCATTACCACGTACATTATTTCTGGTGACACATTAAGGATATGGAGTTGAGTGTAGGCCTTAGTCAATAAAAAGAAGATAAAACTCTTGGCGTGTATCAGTCCCAGAGGGATGCGCCATGCATTCGACTTCACTAAGCATCGTTCGAGATGACTGGTTGTATATCTGGTCTTTACAATGACTCGCGGTGGTCTATCGATGTGTCGTGTCAGTGCTGCTATCCTTTCAGAGAGCTAGAGTACCAATGTGTTGACCCCCGGAGGAATGGAAGACTCAGGGAGCTTGGGGCGTAGGGGACGATCCCCTGTGTATTGCAGGGCGCCTTCGTCCGCTGCGCTACGCACGCACCTAACCTCAACCAATGCTCCCTTTTTGTTCGCTCCCATAATGAAGTTTTCAAAAGTAATCTCTTGCATCGCAGTCCAGCAATATTGGTAACACATTGTTACTACTACTTTTAGTTACTGCAACTGTAATACCTCGTTCTAGTAATATCTAATGTTTCGCTAGCGTGTTCTACGTACATTCTATTAGTTTTTTTTGTAAATAAATAACGGCATTTCTAAACCTTTTCTGTAACTGGAAATGGTCTAGGTTGGAATTACACATAAAATCACTTTTCCATTCATAGTCGATGGGATTGAAGTGACAGTTGAACCTCCTAGTCAGCTTATTTCTGCTTTTCCTACACTCCAGGAGTCATCCGTCTCGAAGTTGTGCACAATCTTCATATGTTGGAATACAAAGAAAGCTGGATAAAGTGGTACAGTGAGTTTAGTTATCGTTTTTTTGTTTTGACATGTGTTTTCTTCATGTACGCTTTCAGAAAGAAGTATTGATTGGGTGTATTGTCTTTAAGTCATTCCTGAATGATAATTTACTATACTTCTCGTTATAGACAGTAAACGAAACGAAATGACTTGCTACTTTAATCCCGTGGATGTATTATTGTACGGTCCCCGAGCTATTCCAGCTGAAGTGCGAGCGGGAAAGACTACAACACTTAGCAAAGCCATCGCAAAGGTATTCTTGAAGTTTTTTCCTTGTAAAAAAAAGAGGGTAAAGCTCTCGGCGTTGATTATTTCCTGAGTGATGCGCCGTGCATTCAACTTCTTCAAGCATTGTTAGAGGTGTCCGAATGCATATCTAGCCTCTACAATGACTCGCGGTGGCCTACCGATGTATTGAGCCAGTGCTGCTATCCTCGCAGACAAGTCTGATACCAATTTGCTCAGCCAGGAAGGATGGAGGACTTTGTGAGCCTGGAGCGCAGGGATCTGTCCTTTGTGTATTACAGGGTGCCATTGACTGCTGCACTACAAGCTCCTTCTTTTCGTATATTTTGAGGATTTGTTTTAGAGTGAGCAGCAGCAAACTTATGCAGACTCTGGTCTTCTGAGCTATTTTATTCGTGCACCGTGGCAATTACTGCTGGGTAACAGCGAAACTGCTGCTCCTGATGAACCGTATGTAAGTATCCCTGTTTTTTGTTACACTATTGAGCCAAGTATCTTTCTGTTTCCAGGAAGAAAGCGATGAACATGAGGGGTATACTGACGTCATTTTTGAGCAGAATGGAAATGCTGAAGTCCAGTTCAATGAGCATTTTCGACAACGATTTCGTATGTCTTTTTTGAAGGGTTTCATAAGAAGAAAGAGGAGAAAGTATTACAGGTTTTAATATATTAGTCTCTTTATAGTATTTCGATCCTAGCCGTTAGTAAAGTATGTAGTGCGTTCAGTATCATGCATCGTGTTCTGCATTTATATCAATGTATAGATTTAAGCCAAATGGTCTTCTACACACATTGGTGTCATTAATTACGAAAGTTTTACTTTTGTTTCTTCAAGTACTGCTTAATGCCGTGTTAGCAGCAATTCTGTGGAGAATGTTTTGGATGATTCAGAACCTGAAGATGCCTTTCGATACGAATATCGGGTGGAATACTCCCTGTTGTACGGAATTTTGCGTCTTCCTGTTTCCTTCCGCAATAAGCATAACATCAGTACTCTATGGACAAGAGTGAGTTTTGTAGTAGTTATCTACAAACTTTGCGTTTTTTAATTATGGTTTCAGTTGTTGTTTGTTTTTCAGGTTGACGCCGATTCTGAATGTTTCGGTGACGCCTTCTCTCGTCGTGTTATGCGCGCTGTGCTCGGATACGAAGACGTCGTGATGGCTAGCCTACGCGCTTTGGCTCATAATTTATCCGAAGATGGTATGTGGATAATTCCTAGTTTTAGGCCATTTTTGCTCTGTGTTGCGCTTATGTCAAGTAGATATTTTATACAGGAGGTTTTTCTCGTTCGTTCGAGTTAGGTTTTAGTTGGCTCTGAAGAAACTGATTTGATGTTTTGGTGGAGTAATCATATAATCGCCTATCTTGTTTGAATTAAGGCTCAGAAAATTTTCTGTCCTTCTATTATGTACTACTTCGTTTATGCTGGGGTGTATTTCTTAGCTTAATATGTTGCCCATTAAAATATTTTCTATACTTTCTAGACAGTGCAGGGCTTGGCTACCTTCACGACTTGTCCACCAACGAACATTATCACTTCGTGTCGTTCATAATGTCCAAAAGTAGTTACATTACAGCAGCTATTGTAATGTTGATATTTGTGAGTATTTGCTTTGTTTGTTTTACAAAATTAAACTCGTTGCTAGAGTTTGGCGCTAGCCCGTTAGTTTGGAAATATGAACAGAATTTCTCTCTTCTGTCTGATTTTCCTTGTCATCACTTCAGCAACGAGGGTTGTGTGTGGCGCAGTGGTTGGAGACGCCCTGCAGTACAAATGGGATTGATCCCGGCGCCCCAGGCTCACCAACCCTTCCATCCCTTCAGTGTCGGCAATTGGTACCAGACTTGTCCGGGGGGATAACAGCACTGGCTCAATATATCGGTAGGCCATCGTGTGTCATTGTAAAAGCTAGATATGCAGTCAATCACCTCCAAGGGTGATTAATGAAGTGGAGTACGCGGCGCATCCCTCAGGGTTTGGTCAACGCCGAGAGCTTTATCCTTTATTTATCAGTTGCTTTAGACTGAGATACGTCTGTTTTTGTCACTGTAATGATTAAGACACGACATCAATTTTACACATTTATGAAAACTCATTAAGTCTTTATGTTATTACAGACTTTCGCCATTTCGATGCTGCTTCGGTTCTCACATCACCAAATTTTCCTGTTCATTGTGGATTTACTGCATATGTTTGAACTGAATCAACCACTCGTTTTTCCCGCAGCACCTCTCTTTACTGTAATATTGGCTTTAGTTGGTGAGTAACATGCGTGCACTTCAAATATTGTATGTTTTGCTCCCCTCTTGTTTTCATTTTTCTCTTTGTTTTCATTGGCTAGAAAAGTTCGTTGTTTTCTTTAATCCGTTTGATTTCGATTTTCTCACACGGTTTGTTTCCTTTTTATTTTATCCCTGCAGGTATAAAGACGTTGATTCAGGAATGGAGACTATAATGTCTGAGGTGTTCGCCGACACAACGACAGCTTTCTATGTAATACTGATTGTTTGGATAGCGGATCAATACGATGCTATTTGTTGCCACTCGCACGTTAGTAAGCGTTACTGGTTAAGGTAACTTTTACGTTATATTATTTTGCAATGTTTTCTTTTGCGATGTGGCGCGTGTAGCGTAGTGTTCGGAGACCCACTGCCAATACACATGGGATCGATCACCGCGCCCCACACTCATCTAGCCTTCCATTCCTCCAGGCTCGGCAAATTGGTACCACACTTGTCTGGGACGTTAGCAGCATTAGCTTGATACATCTGTAGGCCACCGTTAGTTATTGTAAGGGCCAGTTTTGCATCCAGCCACCTCCAACGATGCGTGAGTCGAATGCATGGTGCATCTCCCAGGAATTTATCAACGCCGAGAGCTTTATCAACTTATCCGTTTATTGTTTTGCTTAATGTTGACATTGGTCGTCTCGTCTTACATCGTTAAAGCTCATGAATTTGTTGTGTCTGTTGTAGATTCTACAACCTACTTTCCGGTTTTCTGTGAAAGTTGTGATCTCTTTATATTTCTTTTATGCGGTTGCCGTTTCCACATAATAGTAATTTTTTCCCCGTAATTTTTTTACTCTCATAGTTTTATACCTTAAAGTTGCTTCTTTCATTTTTTCTCATAATTGTGTTGATGAGTGAGTAAGCATTGTGTTCTTACCATTTTTGTGTGCTAAAACGTGTGGTCCAGCATACACGTGAACAAGAATAACGAAGAATCGCTATTTGGTGCTTCTGGGTTCCTTCATATCAGAAGATTTTTAGGTTCTTCTACTTATATCAGTTCTTTTTCTATGCATACCAATATCGCTTTGGCGGACAGTACGGTGGAATGGCTCTTCTCACATCAACGGCGTTTATATTCGTACGTTGATAACTTTTTTTAAAACGAATTTTATCTTCCTTTCTGTTTCAATTGTCTTCTTATTTTTGAGCCGTGGTTTTTCCAGCATTCTATGGTGTTTTTTTTTCATCATTATGAAATGCCTTTAATTTTGTATCAAGATCGCCTGCAGCGTATTCTTACTGAGATTGATACTGCGCCGGTAAGGTTTTGTCGACATATTTCTTGTGCTTATACCTGCGTTATTTTCATCCAGGAGTGCTATTAAATGAAAACAAAGGCAACAAAATTACAGTAGCTGAATTACTGCTACAATTCGTACGCGATAAAATTTTTGGCTAGGTGGTAGCTATGAGGTGTTGTGTTCATCATTTGAGTTTAATCCATCGAAGTTTTTGCCACTTCGTCAAAGACACGTGTGCTCTAGCATCCACGTGAACGAGAATAACACCTTAAATAATTCTGGCTGGTTTTGGTAAGTGCTCGCTGCGATCTGATCAGTTACTGACGGAAGCTTTTAATATATTTTTATTACCACTTTTATCTGCATATATATATGTATACATATAATGTATATATATATGCATATATACATACATATGTATGTATATACGTTCCTTCGATATTTTTCTTTAGCCAGCTGGTCCATTTGATGTTCAGCAAGTTACTGTGTCTATTCACACTCATTCCATCGGCAGGGATGACGTTGACTCACAATCAATAAATGACGCTAATAATGTGAATAGGCAATCTCAAACGTCGGAACAGTTGGTGAGGGCTTATTAAGACCTTTTAAAATAATTCTTCTATGTAAGCTTCCATGGAAGCGTTGAACTTTTTTGCCGTAATTCGATAAGAAACTTGGTTGAAGTGGTTCAGTAATTCTCTAAGAAAATGTCTTTTTTACTGTTTTCTTTAACTTAATTCAGATTGGTGCTTCACACAACCAAACCGAAGAGATATCTGCAAACTTAGCAGAAGTCGGACTGGTGCGGGCAGAGGCGTCGGGTGAGTACTTTTCAGAAAGTTTGTGACATGCTATCAATTTTATTTGTTTGATACATCTACATCTAAGTTTCATTAAACACCATCTGTACTAAAGTAAGTATGTGGCTCCTGAAAAGTTTTTCCCGTGGGTGCTTGAAAGAATTTGCACTGTATGAGTGCTTTTCTTTGTTATGAGAAATGAAATGGAGATATTGATTAGGCATCTAAGCTGTAAAGGAATGAGAAGGCGACCATTTTATTTTGTGGTTGATAGTGTTTTGTCGGATGTTGCGTTTAGAAATTACCGCATTTTCTCTTTATCCTTATGAGCAATTTATTTACTTCGACATCATTCATTTGCTTTTTCAAACGTGGCTAAGGAGCTCTGATGTTCACTATCTTCTTTAACATATTTTTTATGCATAGCTATCTAATTCTGTTTGTAACGATGTAGGACCATATTCATGTAATGGGAGCTCCCTTTCTCCTATCCTCTTCCTTATAATCATTGCAAGGACTGAGGAAGCTATCCTCTTATACGAAAAAGATGTTCAATAGTTAGTGTCTTCTCTTTACTTCTAGTTTTTGGATACGATCCCTGATCTTGCATACTGATTATTGTCATATCATTAATCGATAATTCCACGTTATAAATGTGGTAGAGACCATCGCAGCTGTTGTTCATTCCTGTCTTTTCACATGGTGAAGATTTAATAGCTTCCAGCACTTTATCTTTCAGTATAATTTAGTCTAACTCTTTTGGGAAGAGGAATTACATTTTGTATGTAATATACTTACGGGTAGATTTTCATCCTTTTACCAAGACAAGTACTTGCTGTTATCTTACTGGCTTTTTTAGAGTGAAGAAGTACCTTGTTAGAGACCATACAGAATTCCGTTTTGTTTGCTTCTTGATAGTCGTAATTGCAAGTTGACATATTTATTTATATGGTTTTATAAACTGATCTTAAGCTGACGCGAGGTTGGTACAGGTCTTCGTTGTCGTCGTCGTTGTTTTTGATGTTGTTGGTCTATGGCTGACGTTTCGGCGACTTCGCCTTAGACGGATTTTAGATGTTCTTTCATGCGGACACAAAGTGGTCTACCCGTTTCCACAATATATTCCTCGCCGCATGCATTACATGAGATCAAGTATGTTATACCTAAACTCATGCAATCCCCGTCTCTCCCGTTAGGATAGATCATACAGTTTTCTGAGCTGCACAAACGGTTTCGGTTCGAGACGGTTTCGAACTAGCGGACGACGTAGGGTATTGGGTGGGATGTCAATAATCGTTACATATTTAACCCTTTTATTTACTGCCTTTTTCTTTTTAATGGCAGGATATGTTGCGCTAATATAACACATATATAATGCTGAGATATTTGCAAAACTCCGGACCGTAGGTGTATGCGGTGGAGAAATCCCGAAAAAAGCCAAATCAATCCCGTTGACAGGTGATTACTGATGACAAAAGATCAGTAGAACTAGCTGAGAGACAGGCAAAACGAACGACGCGGATGGTGTGGTGGTGAAGTGCACTACTCCCCGGTAAGGACAACAGCGCGTTCGTTCCCCACCGCATACACCTGCTGTCCGGAGTTTTGCAAATAATCGTTGCATTGTTTTCAAAACCACTTTTTCTTAAGTGCTTTTTAATGGCGTGACTTGTTTCATTTGACATGAAGGGTAGCTTAGAGAGGATCTTACGTAAACATCCAAATAAAGCTCTCAGTGAGTGGCCATATAACAAAATGGTATCGCAAGCCAAGTAGTAAAAACATTCTAGTTCACTACCTCTTCTCTCATCCTTCAGACATGAAAAAAGCATTTATCAAAAATATGTATCGTACGGCTAAAAATGTGTGCACAGGAGAATCGGAAAGGATGGAATCGCAAAACCTGGCACGAAAAATAGTCATTTCCAATGACTACGAAGTAGAAGCCACTCGGGTTAGAGGAAAACGTTGGGTAGTTTCCCAAAATAATGTTTCAGACGAAAGTAAGATCCCCTTTAAGCTACCCTTCATATCAAATGGAGTAAGTCACGTCATTAAAAAGTGCTTAAGAAAAAGTGGTCTTGAAAATTATGTGACGATTACTGACATCCCATCCAATACCCTAGGTCACCCTTGAACAATAACACGGTCTTGCTGGTCTTTCACTCAGTAGGGACCTTGCATTCGGACAGATGATGTGTGAAGAGCCGAACTAGTGTGTTTACGAGGACTGTCGGAAGGTTCTTTAGGTGTTCTGATCTTATTCTATCCGGACTTGGTGCTGTTCGATATTTTACCGACGAAATAGCATGTCGGATTTTGGAAGGCAGAACAGGTGGTACGACATCCTTTATTTCATATGAGGGAAGATGGGTGGGACTATCGAAGAGATCTGAGTAGTATTCGTGAATGATTTTCTCCATTGCCTTTCTGGATGCTGTAACTGTTCCGTCTGGGCGTCGGAGTTCAATCTTCTTGGTCTTGTCATTGGTGAGGTTTCGGTGGGCTTTGTGAATGCTTTTCCCGGTCTCTGCAGCTTCGACCATCACTGCTGCTCTTCTCTCTTTAAGATATTCTTTTATCGCCTACCTGCATTGTTTTGCAAGTTCGGACGTTAGTTCGCCGTTGCATGCAGCTCGTGCGATTCCAGGCGTATCAGCTCGAGTGTTTCTGGAGTCAGACGTCTGTTGGTGACTTTCGAACTCTCAGCCTTCATACCGCTAACATGAAGATGTTGAATGAGGCGATCGTATTCTCGATGTTATCAAGAACGGCATCTTTCCAGTAGTCGACTAATGAATTGAGCAGGTCCCAGTTTAGCGTGGTTCTGGGACTTCGTTTTTTGAATTTGGCGGTTTTTTCTCCTTTCCGCGAGAGATAAAATTTTGCATGAAGGGGACGGTGGTCTGATCCCATGTAGAATTTTGGGACAACAGCGACATCGGTTGGGCAAAGCCTTCTATTTTTTATGTTGTGGTCTATTTCGCTATAGTACTCTTCATTAGGAGACTCCCACGTCCAGCGTTGAGAGTGGGGCTTCACGAATTTCGATGGTCTTCTCTGTAGAACTTCTCCATGTCCATATAAAACGCTTCGACTTCTTCTTCGTCATAGTTTGATGTCGCCGCGTAAACGACGACGATTGTCAAAACTGGAATTGATCCACATCTTTTTAGTCGTAAAAGTCCGATTTGGCTTGTTAATTGTTTGAATGAATCGATGTTAATGGACAAACTCGTGCTAACGAGAATGCCGACGCCGCCGACTCCTCTACTGTCACATGTTCCGAGAAACAGTTCTTCTCCGGTGTCATGGATGGCGTTGAATGGGTGGCGTAGTCCCGTCTTGCCCATGTCGTACCTTGTTCTTATTCCTTGCATGATCAAGATTTCTATCGAGGACTTGGAAGGGAGTGTGCCTGCATTTAATGTAGAGATTGTCACCTTAGTTCTTTGTAATCCAGATAGCTTCCACTGACCCTGAGATTTTGGCAGCCTCCCCGTACTCGTCCTACCCAATGCTTCGAAATTTGGGTCCTTTAGGGTCAGAGGAATGAGGCCCGTTCTTTTTTTTTACTGTGTTTAGATGCTCACATATAGCTTGCTGGGCTCTGAACGTGTGGGCTGGTATGCTCATGGGTAGCTTGCCAGGCTCTCCCAGAGTGGACATGGAGCTTATTTCTTGGAGACGACTCCTAACCGCCTCCCATATACTTGTTATTTGATTGCAGACTTTTGGCCGAATTGACTCGTAGAATACAATCCGCGTAAGCAAGAACGCACCCACATACGCATACATGGATACGCCTCGTAAATACAGAAAGTATGTGCCAAATCGGCGCAGCAGAAACAGGGAATCCATTCCCTGCACCCACCTGCGTCTCCGGGAAACAAAGGTTGCTTTTGGTCCGCGATTAACCCCCTGTCCGCCACCTAGGGAGTCGCCACGTAGCCTCGCGACTAAGCGGCTCGAGGTCCCTCATATGAGGTGGTTTCATGGATGCACTTACATACATAAAGAGCAATGAACATGTGCAATACAGTGACCCATCCGCCTGTCTATACAAGCCTCAGAACAGTTCCTGCTTTTGATTAGCCACAACGTTGCTGAGATATTTGCAAAACTCTGGACCGCAGGTGTCTATGGTGGGGAACGAACCTGCTATTGTCCTTTCCGGGGAGTAACGCGTTCACCACCATACCATGCGGGTCCTTCGTTTCGCCTGTCTCTCAGCTATTTCTATCGATCTTTGCCACAGCAATCACCCGTCAGCGGGATTGATCTGGGATCAATGACCCATCAATGATGTGGTTGTATTTCGCTTAGCGCTTAGTACCCTGCCGCTAAATTATAGTAGGCAGAAAATAAAAAGGTATAACCTTCTGATTAGCTTTGGTTCTTGTTTAGTTTTCCATCATCTGTGAATGATCAACGTTTTCACGTGACATTTTACTGCTCATGATTGTTCACAAGAGTTGATGGAGTGATAGTATATAGCTGGTATCAAACGTGAAGTTTATTGTGATAATAAACCTCTTCAGTGGTTTTGCTTTTAAGTTTTTCTTGGGTGTTCTACTGCTGTACAGCAGAGAGTTCATCTTCGTCACCCTCGTTGGTGTAGCGTTCAATATTTCTATTTGGTAATGCTGCATAGAGTAAGCCTATATGGAAGTCACCGTCATCCTTCAAGAAATATAGTTCCAAATTCGAGTTTATTTTTTCGATTTTCAACGGTCGGTTAACGCGTTTTGTGACGATCTATGAGTTGTCTTGCGCTGTTTTCTCAGAAAGAGGTGAAAAGTACCACTGGTTTTAGAATTGTACTGCACTCAGTAGTTTATGAGGACGGTCGAGTGGGAAAGGTGCCGCTGAGTGGGATATTGTAAAATGGTGGACTCAGTAGTTTACGTGGATGGTCACTGACGTATCAAGTAGATATAATGACTGAGACTTAAACATTTTTCGTGAACGCCAGAACGCTAGGAAGTCTAAGATGATGATAAAAAGAGCCATAGATCCGTATTTCTCGTAATGTCACCGTATCAATTTATTTTCAGCCGTTGAGTTACCAGCAGCAGTTCTTTCAGTAAATGCTGTAGAGAGGGTTGCCGAAGAGGTAGTGTCTGAAGCAATCGACGAACTGTTTTTGTGATAAAAATCGAGCATTATTCGGCCTGTTCCAGTTTCCTCGATCATTTGGAGGACCTTTTGTTGGAGCCTTCTTAATATAGGTCGTACTTGTATATGCTTTTCCATTCTTAGTGCAGATATGCAGATTATTATTTACGCAGCTACCAGATTTATTGGTGTTGGTGTTTCGTTTATATTGATTGCACAATCATTGTATTGCTTCATCGACCCTTATTCTGTGATGTGAAAATAGTTCTAAGCGATTTCTTTCGGTAAAATTAGTTGATACTTACCGGTATATAGGTATTCTATGTGCTTGTTTAAGTATGTTCAAAATTTCATTATTTGGTGAACTCTTATTATTATCATTCTTCTCTTTAATTTGTCTCCTCTTTTTTACACTTTTTGCCTTCCATACATTTTTAGGATAGGCTGTGATTTAGCATGCATTATTGATTTTTCCATATTTATGCACGTTTTTTGCTTCTAAAGCACAATTGATGAATTTATCCTGTGTTCTTGTGATATTCAGTGTGTTCGAGTTCACCATAAATATGGAAGAAGCTTTGTTCAATCAACACAAAGAAAACGCAAAATCTGCTTTGAATATTTATATACCTTTATGTATCCCGTTTTGATACTGTGGAAATCAAGCCATACATGTCGAAGCTGTATTGGATTTCTTGGCTTTATGTTATCTTCGACGTAATCAGAGAAAGCTTAGTAGTAGGTATCTAGTAAGGAGTTATGATTCCGAGGAGCAAATGTGCGCTACAGCGCTTTGTGATATGTGATAGATGACTGTGAATTGCGTGTCGTGCTGTTCGGCCAAAAGTTTGCCATTACTCGTTGATTATAAGGGGAAGCAATTCTAAAGATGTTCTCGGTGTTGCACGTGTTGCAAAGATGCACGCTATTCAGTATTCAGTGCTCTGTTCCTCCTAGAAATTCTTCAGCCTGCTTTATGCGTCCGATAATCAAGAGAAGGATCGTTTTGCTTTTGAGTGTCTTTGAAATATGGTGTCACTGTTTAAGGGCGCGTGTAACGACGAAGTGGTCGGAGGCGCTCTGCAGTACACATCCATCCCTCCGGGGTCGGCAGATTGTTTGCAGACTTTTCTAGGAAGATAGCAGCACTGGATCGATAAAGCGCTACGCCACCGCAAGTGACTGTAAATGCCAGTTATGCACTCAATCACCTCCAACGATGCTTAATGAAGTTGATTGCATGGCGCATCCCTCAGGGGTTGAGCAACGCCGAAAGCTTTATCCTTTTTCATGTTGTTTTATTTACATAGAAGATAAAACCGAATATGAATCATAGTGTATAGTAGCGTTTATAAGAAGAGTCTTAATACTAGGCGATTGATTTCTAGAGGACTCATTTGTCTACCTATGGACGCCACAGTGTTATTTACTTGCCTTAGAACGTGGAGTAGTTAGCGTCAAGCTCCCTAACTTTCCAAAGAAAAATCACCTCAAAATGACTGCCCACTGTTTCTTACTCTTTCTCGTCCGTTTGCCCTTCTTTCTCTTTCTTCGTTTTTCATCCACGTTGTTGGTGTTTGCTCAAAAAAATACGAACAAAATCACTTGATCAATGCCGAGGTTAATAGAGAGTCGGTCGTGGCAGTTGTTGGTGACAGTTTTTTCTTTTCATATTCTTACTTCAAGATAAACCTAGAGAAAACTGACCTCCCCTTTTTTATACTTCATCTTGATACCAGTTTACCTGGATTTTAGCCTATAAAAATGGAAGTTTCCTGTTACACACACTGCGTTTCAGAAATGTCGTTGGCGACTCCGTTATATAAATTGAGTGAAATCCAGCGAAAATCTGTCTATGAACCAGCCGAAGACACTTTTCTTCTCTTAGACGCAATTGAGAACGATATACAAGTAAGTCTGTTCTAGGTCTTAGAAAGAAAAGAGGCTTTGATGATTGATTGCCCGTGTTTTCAGTGGTTGCGTGATCTCCATCCTCAAATTGTTCTGGAAATTGGTTGTGGCTCAGGAGTTGTATCCGCATTTTTGAATCGCGTAAATTTTATTACAGTCCGTTTCATTACATTCATAATTCTTTAGGGAGAAGTAGCGTAATTTATTTGAAGAGCTGGAAAAGGCATCGCGAAGTATTGATGTGGTTATGATAAATGAGGATAAAAGATAGCTTTACATTTCGTTTGTGATGATTTTTCAGTATGATCTATAGTGTGGCGGTTTTCCAAAATGATCGACTTCTTCGCAATCTGAGAATATTCCGGTGTATCATATCAGATTAGACGTGTGGCGCAGTGGTTACGGTTAGATACGCATGAGATCGTTAGCTCACGTCATTCGGAAAGCTCGAGCTTTGTATCGTCTGAACTCGGTAAATTGCTGCTGGATTTGCCTGCGAGGGTAAAAACTGTTTCGATGTAATAATAGGTCCCCCAACTGCTTCACTTCGTTTAGTGACACATTCTCGTGAGATTGATCCACATCCAAGTCTTCTTTTACTGATTTATTCAGTGGATACTAATATGCCAAAGTTCATCGAATTCTCAAAATTTCTTCTAGTTACAATTCTTTCTGCTCGATTCAGTGGGTTTCCTTGCCTTCGTTGTCAATGAAAATGAGCAAATTTTCATATACATTGCAAAGTATGACTTCTATACTTATAAAATAGCACATTATTTTCCAATGCTTGTCTAGTGTAGCTGTAGATCCGTCATCATGAATTATACTTGGGTCTTCTGAGATTTACCGGCAAACATGTTCCAAGTAAGGCCCTTTGAAAAAAAAAGATTCCCATTATCCGAGTATCAATTATTTATATTCCTGTGCAAACAAGGATCTCACTGAGATAAACCTCGCCGTCCCTAAAGCAGAATAAACTGCTATTCTGCTTTAGGTATGAATCAGTTGATATTTTAGATGGATTCCAGCTTATTTCAATTTTCCCTGGTTTAATCTCGCCAAATATTGAAATGCCGGTTCATTGTGCGAAGAAGGATAAGAGTTCGATTTGTGACGCACGCTAGAGTTCTTTCACCCGGCAAGTAAAACCAGGAAAACAAAGAGCCGAATTTTGAGCGATCAGCCGCTAAGGAACCTGCGTTAGGAATTCCATTCTTCTTGGAAGAGACCTAGGACAATACAGCAGCCTTTTTAATACGTAGCTGTTAGCATGATTCGGACACGTTATGGTAGCTGTTTTAAGGAATAGCACCGATTGCTAGAGTAAGGCGGTTAACCGATACGGAATGATTCTGGGTGCCTCTTGTCGATGGCATTCAAATGGTAGCACGGAGTTGCTTTTGGTGAAACTATTAAAAATTCCTTTACGGGATGAGTTTGATGTTTCCAATGAAGGGTTTGCGCATTCGAAGGTTAGTCGATATGTGGTTCGGAAAAAGGATAACTGATTGCTCCAAGGTGAAGATTTTCGTTAGGGCAGATAGCATTCAAAAAAGCCTATTCATTTTTGAAATTCCATAGGATGAGTTGACTATGCACTTGTATATTTCCATGGGAATACCACGGAGATTTCGTAAAGGTTTCATGAAAAATCAATTCGACCGCCTTTCAGCAACTTTCGCGAGGATGTCGATGAGTTGAGCAGCAACGGAACCTAAATGTAGTAATTCGAATGATCCACTTTTAGTAAGCCTCAACATAAACAATTAGTTTATTTCAAATTCTACGAGATTTCTTTGTGCAGTTGGCGTGAGCTTTATATCGCGTGTTCTTGCAATTCGATTGATGATGCTTCGGCGATTTGGCCTTCGTCGAGACCTTTTCCGTTCTGTCAACTGTAAGACCGGTCGAGTGCTGTTCACGTTGGGTGACGAGTCGAATTACGTAGACATTTGTACTAATTTGACGTCAGCTTACTTGGGCGTTTTGAACCTAAGAACGTAAATCCGAAGACCTTTGTGGATTAGAGATGCAAAACACAAAGCGAATGTGAAAAGCGATTTGCTCCCATCTAACATGTGAAGGCAGTTCTTATTAATGGAAAAGTAGAAATCACTTAGCCACTAAAGGGGTGACTAAGGTTGCCAGATGCAGAGAGAAAGCACCGTAGCCCAATCCAGCCAAATGACCCGATAAGGTGTAGTTGACTAACAGTAAATATCCAATACCGCAACCACAAATACAACATGAGTGTAGATTTCGTAGATTTACTTTCTGGAAACAGCCATTAGCGAGATCACTGTATCATTCCTTGTAATTCGATCTTTTGACCGATCATGGAATAATGAAGAACTAGGATGGTTTTTTTGAACCGACCTGTCATTACAATTTAGGACTCCTTTATTGCTTTTCATCGACACGCACAGACACGCACGCACGCAAGCACGCACGCACGAACACACACACATACACGCACACCCACATACACAAACACATGCACACATACACACCCATACACAAACATGCATACACACAAACACACATACAGACATACACACATACGCACCTGAACATACAGGCGCTCATACACACACATGTACACACATGCACACATGGACACAAACACACACACACTACACACATGCACACATACACACATACACACATGCACACATGCACACAAATACACACATGCATACATACACATACACACATGCACACATACACACATACGCACATGCACACATACGCACATACAGACGAATACACACATACACAAACATACACACAGACGCACACGTACACACACACACACACACATGCACGCACGCACGCACGTATTACAGCCACACAAACAAAGACGCCCACCGACACGCAGCCCAAACACATTTTAAACAAGCGCTCATTTTGTGCTAACCTAATAACGGAAAGCAACTAGATGTAGTGTTATTAAGTAATGAATAAAGTATAGAGAAATGGGGTGTTATCGTTATTTTAGGCTTTGGGTGGAAATGCAACATCGCTCGCCACTGACTGTAATCCACATGCGCTCGAGTGTACTGTGCAGACCGGAAAGTTGAACGACGTCGAGATAGAAGTGATCAGAACGGATCTCGACAACGGGTTAAATCAGTTGGAGGCAAGTTGGTGGAATTCTTTAACAATTCTCAAAAGCCGTAATATGGCAAAAGTCGTACAGAAATCTTCCTGAAGATTACTCATTTTTTCTTTCTTTATTGTTTCTCCTTCTTTTTTTCTCGTTGTGGAATTGTTTCAGATAAATCAGTCCTTATTAGCGAATATCGTTACAACACGTTTTGAACTATCTGTTCAGCATGTGTTTATATTGTTGAGCCCAGACCAGGTTGACAAGCATGTTTATACGGCTAACGTTTCGACGTCTTCGTCTTCAACGGAGCCGCCGATCCGAGTCAATGGTCCACAGTCGTCTTCTCGATAAGACGTCTTCGTACCGAGCCTGATCTTCCTCGCTAGAGCATATCGAATGAGGCAAACATTCGAATTTTTCTTTGCGTTTTGCATTTTTGTATTAGAATGCCTAATTCGAGATGCTCTACTGTGGAAAATCCGGATAAATGCGGAGACGAAGACGCCACATCAAGAAGAGGAACAGTTGTGGATCATCGACTCGGACCCTCGGCTCAGATGAAGACGAAGATGTCGAAACGTTAGCCGAAACATCTTTATCAACTTCGTGTAAGCTCAACAATATAAACACGTGGTAATTATTTTCCTACCGATGTTAAATGACGCTCGGTTTCAAATTTGTCTTTTCAGCTTTTAGTACTTTTTAAATTCGTGAGAATACTGCGAGCACAAAAACTACTGAATCAAAATGTTTCAGAACAAAGTCGATGTTCTACTTTTCAATCCGCCATATGTACCAACCGATAAAAGGCCTGAGAACGATCTGGTAAGAAAGAGGTTATCTCCAAAAAGTGTATTTTCTCCTAATGTACATTTTTTGGAACTCTTCGTTCTATTACAACTGCAGTTTTTCCTTATCAGCTGTTTAATTATATTTTCATAAGCAAGTAAAATTATTTTTAAGCTATGGAACAACTATAAAGATAAAGCAGAGAAGCTTTCAATTCATAAGGGATGCATTCGACTTCTTTAAGAATAGTAGTGGTGATTGAATGCAAATGTGCTCTATATAATAACTTGCAGGGACAAGCCGATGTAAAAAGTTGGTGTTTTAATCCTCCTAGACTTATCTTTCACCATTTGCCATTCCCAGACGGAACTAGAGCACAGTTTGCACGGGGCGCGGTATCGTGCCAACGAATGCGTTTGTGCATGGCAGAGCGTCTTCAGCTTAATAATTTACTGTTTTCCTGATGAGCAGGCGCGTGATTATTATTATACTATTTATTTATTCACAATAGCCGACGTTTCTGCGGATTTCACCTTTTTCAAAGCCTCGAAAAGTTAAGTCGATTGGAGTCTAGTCCATCAAATCCGTCAGTTCAACAGAAAAAGCTGATACCTAAAGTTCAGTTGCTTTCGAAATGGTTTTTTCAGAAACCCATCACTTTATAGGATTCTTCCACTTGTTCGACGGGAGCAAATCTACAGAGTTCACATGGATAGGTAGTGTGCTTTTTCTCCTGTTAGAAGATAAGTCCGAGATATTGTGCTATACCAGGTGTAATGACAAAGCATTCCTCCCTGCGGTTCATTTTCCGTTTCTTGGAATTTATCCAAAATTCCTCGAGAATTTTATAGTTTCGAGAGCGGTGTTCAGATTTCTGTGTGAGGATGGTGACTTCTACTTCAAAATCTTCTCCGTTGTGTCTGTGTGTCCTATATGCGCCTAATGGAGTGTTTTAACTTTAATTTGTCCACCTAGATCCTCTTTTATACGGTCACATACTACTCGTATTGCTTAGGTATTCATCCCCACACATTTTACAAGAGATCAACTACACCGTACCCGAACTCATACATCACAATCTTAACCATTAAGGCAAATTATGCAATTTTGAGTTGAGCATGAATAGTTACGAACAGGCCACTTCTTAGAGTATTCGGTTATATTTTGATCACTACTACCGTCTTCTTTAAAATGGCGTTCCTTAAACATCGCTTTATAGCTGTGCTTACTTCGTTTGTGATAAAGGGCAGTTTAAATGGTGACCTCATTCTCGCTAGAATTACCGTTTGAAGGTGTGGTTTTTCTTCTCAACCTACTTAAGCAATTATCGTTTCGCAACTATTGGAAATTACTATTTTCCATACCAAAGTAGGGAATTCTTTCTTTTCCTATCTTCCTGCACACATATTGGTGACTGGTCGAAGTATGTTTCTCATAAGGGTCCTCTTTGTGTGTGAGGATTGAGAGGAGAGGTAATGAGCGGGTATGTTCTTTTTACTTCGTTTTCGGTGCCACATGGTTGTGTAGTCGTTTCGGTTTGAATGTTCAAAAAAGGAAGCCAGTTTTCTTTTGGCTTCTGTATTAGTCCTTCTGCTTTTCTGTGGAGCAGATGGTGGAACAATTATCGTAATGGCAAAACTCGCTGCCAGTCGTACTACCTACTCGCTGTCATTTGGCCATTTGTACAGAATACTTCCGGGGCTTCCTAAAGATTCAGCACATTTTTAAGAGAGCAACAAGCTGCTGATGCGAGCCGGCCTTCATTGTTTATTGCTTCTTCGTGTTTCTTAAGGAGTTAGAAGATGGCTTGCATTGCGAACTCATTCGACATGTTTCTATAAAGAACGGAAGCGTGGGAGGGCTACATTACAAGCGTGTACGTTGGCTATCGTGACCAAATAGATAGTACAGTAACAATGAAGAAAACAGTAAATTACTGAGCTTTGCCGAGAATTGTAGAAAGTCGGCTCTTGGAATTACCTGTAACACATTTGCAACGACGCCTAATTTCTCCTGGTTGGCGCATAGGGTGACGCCTAATCTTCATCTATTACGAACTTGCTGGGTTTTTTCTTTACAGTGAACGCAAATTTTTCAATGTGTAGACGATACATTTCTCAATGGCTATATAGGTGTGAATGGTATGTATGCTTTAACGTTTTGTTTTCTGCCTTCTATAATTTTCATGGCAGGTTACTAAGCGAAATACAACCACAATGTTGCTGAGATATTTGCAAAACTCTGGACCGCAGGTGTCTATGGTGGGGAACGAACGCGCTATTATCCTTTCCGGGGAGTAACGCGTTCACCACCACACCATGCGGGTCCTTTGTTTCGCACGTCTCTCAGCTATTTCTATCGATCTTTTTGCCACAGCAATCACCCGTCAGCGGGATTCGTTAAAACATTGTGATTTCAACTACAGCCATAGCTTAACTGGGTTCTATGCCGATTTGCGCTCCCCAGATCAATCCCGCTGACGGGTGATTGCTGTGGCAAAAAGATCGATAGAAATAGCTGAGAGACGTGCGAAACAAAGGACCCGCATGGTGTGGTGGTGAACGCGTTACTCCCCGGAAAGGATAATAGCGCGTTCGTTCCCCACCATAGACACCTGCGGTCCAGAGTTTTGCAAATATCTCAGCAACATTGTGGTATGTATGCTATTATTTGCTATATGCCACTGTGGTCCATTGTGCAAGCACATTGATATCAGCGTTTGAAAGGTTCTGCATCCTATATTGCTTTCATTTCTGGATTTTTGTACTCGTCCGTTATAACAGTGACTCATCATAGCGGTTCGATTTGAAACAGCAATTAAGTGCGTGCCAAATTAACTGTCAATGAACTTATTCGGGAAAGAATATTTTTTTTGTGTATTTTTAAATCCATAACAGAGTTTTCTTGGTTCACGCTCGCCACAGCATTTGAGTTCGACAGGGTATCGATTAATGACAAAGAATGTAGGAAAAGGTTTCTTTGCCCCAAAATAATCCATCAGAAATAAAATAACCTTCATAGCGGCCGTTAACATTTGTGGAATTAGTGTCATCGCGAACGTGTTAATCACTGTAATACACGCACCACCAATAGCTATGGATACTTATTTTTAGAAGGACCTTGTAAGTCTGATTTCGATTAAATCTGTGCTTCAAACTCTGTATCACCTCCGCTTATGTTCTCTTTCGTGTTAAATGATGTTTAATGCACAACTGTTGCTTATTTATTATTCTTATTGTGATTATTTGATGTTTTGGATTTTGTTGGTGTAGGAGCGATGTTGGGCTGGTGGGCTGCATGGTCGTGGGGTTATGGATCGTCTGCTACCGAGAGTTCCGCATTTGTTGTCGGATAATGGTGTTTTCTACCTTGTCGCTTTGCACTCGAACGACGTACCGAAACTGCTTACGGCCTGCTCGGACCTTCAAGGAATTGTTACTATGGAACGGCGATGTGGGATCGAATATCTGTATATAATTAAGTACACCAAAAAATAGTACGTGTTCTGTATTTTGTTGTTAATATTCTTCTTATGATGATATAAACTATCCTGTTATTTTCGGTTTTTGAAAAGAGGTTCGTCAACGATCAACAAAAATTATTTCTAATGACTAATATATATGTCCTGAATATGGCAAGGAATCTGCAGAGAGTTCTGTTCCAGTAGCAATTCAACAATTGAAGAATTGTCTCGACACGCAGGTTATGAAATTCAACACCAATATGATTAACTAGGAATGACTGAATTGAAGGCTACAGATGGAGAATGCAGCTACGGTACACTCTGACATGCACGATTCCTGAAACAAATCTCAGTCTGACACAGCTGCAAACCAAGATTTTCCTCCACATCCAATGTTGAATAATAGTCCGAATTTGTTTTTCTGGACTAATATATGGTGTTCTGAGAACTTTCTCTTGAGCAAAGCGCATATTATCTACCTTTCCGTTGTGCACTTTTGCTCCCATGTCTATTCGATTCCAATTTTCCACCTTCCTGATAGTAACTGATCGGAACGAAAGTTGCTAAGCCATCGTTATTTGAAACTAATCTTGTCACATTAATGGCGATGTTTTTTCAAATGATTACTCAAAGCCGTCTTTTGCCTATACTCACCTTCCTGTAATTATAAGAATTGGCCAATTTGCTGTGTAGAACGTAATTTACTCATGGATATAAGCCTGAGTTCTTCTTTGTGGACATAAAAAAGTCCCCTTCATACTGGCGCAGGAAGGCTAGTTCATAACCTAAACAAAGATACGACCTAATAGAAGTGCATGGTCACTTTCACTCTTATATCTGCAACCGAGTGTCGTCCGCTAAACGTTGAGACGAACTGTTAAAGTGAATTTCACTATAGAAATTGCTATAGTAAGTCGGCATAGTTAATCAACACCTGAGTAAATTATTCTAAAATGAAGAGTATTTGAGGAAACACAGAATACAAAACCTTCTTTATATTCAAGACTGTCTTTCTGTTAACCTCGGCATTGATTGATAATTCGCTGTTTTTCTTCAAAAAGCAGACACGAGCTGACGTTTCGGCGGTTTCACCTTCCTCAGAGCCTGGAAAGGTCAGATGGAGATGCGATCTACTCAGCCAAACACTTTCATAACCCTAGCAGATAAAACTTAACAAATAAATTTGCTTTACGAGTTTTACGCGCTGATGTTTTCGATTCCCACGTGAGCATAGTGACTCCTACTTCAAAATCCTCTCCGTTGTGTTTCTGCATCCTATGCACGCCTAGTGGAGCGTTTGGTTTTAATTTAGATTTACCGACTAGGTGTTCTTTTATGCGGACGCAGAGTGGTCTAGTCGTTTGGCCAATGTATTCTTCCCGCACGCTTTGCAAACGATTAGGTGCACCGTGCCCAAACTCATGCAATCACCGTCTCTACCGTTAGGGCAAATAATGCACTCTTTCGTTGTACACAGACGGTTATATAGGCGGTTGCGAACTAGCTGGCGTCGTAGAATGTCCGGTGGTATTTCTATCACTTTTACGGATTTCTCTAGACCGGCTCTTATTAAGCAACGTTTTATGGCTGCACTTATTTCGTTTGAAAGAAAGGGCAAGAGGAACGTAATCTCGTTTTCGCTAGAATTACCGCTCTAGGCGTGGTTTTTCCTCTATGCCTATGATGCCGAGAAGTTACAGTTTCGTAACCATTTGAAATGGCTATTTGGGGCGCCAGTTTCGAGGATTCTTCATTCTGCTCTATACCTGTGCACACGTTGGTGGTGATTCGAAACATATTTCTTACAACCTCCCTTTTAGTGTGCGAGTGATGAGAGGAGAGGTAATGAACCATTACATTCTTACTGCTTGGCTTTCCATACCATTTTGTTTTGTAGTCGTTTTCGGATAGGTTGATTTGAATGTTTAGAAATGGAATCCAGTTTTCTTTCGGTTTCTCACCGGTGAATTTTATGTACTCTGAATGTTCGTTCAATAACTCAAACCATTTGTTCATCTCCTCTTGTATGGAGCAGATGACAAAACAGTCAAAACATATACTTACAGTCGAATAATGGCCTGAGATCGATTACTGGTGCTTCCACTTTAGACATAAAGGCAACGGCAAGGGTTGGCGCTAGTCGCTGTTCCATTGCCAACCCTCTACTTTGCGCGTAATATTTCCCTGACCATCTGATGATCGAGCGGTTTAAACAGACCTTTCGGAGGACCATAAGCTGCTGAATCGAGAAGCCATACACGTTAATTGCCCCTTCGTGTTGCTCAAGAAGCCCGCGGACTGCTTGCATTGCGGAGTCGTTCGACACGTTAGTGTAAAGGGCGGTAACGTCTAACGACTCCATAACGTACGCGCTTTTGGGACTTGCGTTGGCAGACGGTCTAGGAACATTTTGGTGTTCGTGAGATGGGCTGGTATTTCCTTAAGCAACTGGTTAAGGATTAGATTTATAAACCAAGGAATTCTAACCGTACGCCCGTTTACGCAACTAATGATAGGTGTAACATTAAAGGTGGAGGGGTCGGTAGACGCCAGATCATGATGGGTTCTTTATTATATTATATTATCTACTTGTTCATAGCGCCTGGGATCGTCCATGAGCGGATAGCACAGCAGTAGTGATGTAGGTCATCACGTGCATGATTCTAGTTCCTCTCCGCTCCGCGCCAAATAAGCCTCTCGCTCCTCCGGGATCGGAAATTGGTACCGAACTTGTGCAGGAAAAACTCACTCTCTGCAATGCAGTTGGGAACGCTCCAAGTTTTTTACGACATTCAAGAGGAAATGAAAATCCTCAAGTAGTAGTCGATGCCGTACGTAAAAGATGGAAGATCTTCCTGAAAATGGTGGCTATGAGGAAACGAATCGATGTGGGAAGTGCTGGGATCCGCACAGTAGACATAAAGCCGGGTCGTGTAAAAATTTAAAAAAAATCATAGTGTCCTGCATTTTTCTGACGATTGTAAACTAATTATGGTAATTTATCAAGTGGTTTGCTTCGAACATGGTGACTTGTGTGCGTATCATACCGTGGTGTGCAAAACGTTCACAGGTGCACATACCGTTGAATGATTTTCGTTGAGAACGTGCCGTTTAGTCATGCTTGTGTTCGCCCCATAGGAGGCTTGTACCTAAATTCACTGTGGAGTTCTTTTTTCGCCCACCTTTAGTTGTATCACTTGGCCGGATTTTCGTAAATGGGGTTTGTTTCCAATTTATGTGCAGTCCAATTCTTTTACATGCGTTTATTCAGCTCACTGATCACCTTCTTTGCTCTCTTCTCAGTTCGAAAAATGCTCCTCAAAAGGATGGCGACTTTATTCGCTAAACGAAGACTTGATAGGAATTTTCCATCAATACATATGCTTTTCACGTCCTAATCCAGTAATTTCATTATCCGCTGCAGTGGGACAATAAGCAGCGCCGCTGTAAAACGATTTTTTTGAAATCAAAAAAGTCAGGATCAACGGTACATAGTATTATCGACAGCTTTGTGACCATAGATATGGTTTGGATAAATTCCATTCCAGAAACTTCCTGTCGAAATCCTGCTTACTCAACTGCATATGCCTCACTCAATGTGTCCATGCGTCCACAGTAGAAAGTAAATCTTTTACTCACGCCGAGTTGAATTTAATACAGTAGGGCACCACATGAATATGTGAGTGACATCATCCAGTTGTGCGTGTTATAGAAGATGGTTTGTCCCAATTTGGTAAGGTGACCTTACCCAGTAGTGCCCTAATTGTTTAAGAGATTCTTGACCGATCGAAAAATTTCGACCTCCTTCTAAGGGCACAACGGTGCAATCACTTTTTACGCTTTTTCCTGGAACTGTGAAGAATTCACTGTGTGACATTTCCTACAACGGCTGAAGCATTTCACGACATGCGTTCCGTTTACTGCGAATGAGGTATCGAAAGGATATTTGTATTAGCTCCCAGGATCGACTTTCTCTTAACCTCGGCATTGGAATATGAATGTTCTTGTTCAGCAATCGCGAGGTTTTTAAACAGCATACATTTACTTCCATAGAGAAACATAATACAATACAGCAGTAGCTGACGTTTCGGCAGTATCGCCTTCTTCAGAGCCTAGAAGAGCATACTGATATACAATCTACTAGGCCAAACGCTTCAATAGCACTTACAAAAAGACGAAAGACTCTCTGGTAATTACATGATCAGCAGGTTCTCAAAAAAGCCACCGCTTTTTACGTGACTTCCAATGAGGAAGTTTAGAACAGCTGATTATAGTCGCATGTGGTTGACGACTGCACCATCCCACATCAGAAATCGATGCGAACGTACGGGATCAGGTCGCGTATGACCTCCGGGCATTCGTCCCTGCTATTCATTGTAGGGTTTTTGGCATTGATCCAAAAAGCCTCTAGGAGTTTTCGCGCTGGTGTTTTGGACTCCTGTGCAAGGATATTGACTTTTACTTCAAAATCGTCTCCGCTATGCTTTTGTATCCTATGCGTGCCTAGTGGGGTGCTTCGTCTTAGTTTTCGTTTGCCATCTAGGTGTTCTTTTATACGGATACACAAAGGTCTGCCCATTTCGCCATTATATTCATCTCCGCAAGAACTACAAGAGATCAGGTATATCGTACCTGAACTCATGCAATCACCGTCCCTACCGTAAGGGCAAATTACGCAATTTGTTGTTTCACATAGACGGTCATACAGGCGGTTGCGAACAAATTGGCGTCGTAGAGTAGCCGGTGGTATTTCAACTATCGCTACCGATTCCTCTATACCTGCCCTTCTTAAGCATCGTTTTATAGCTACGCTTACTTCATCGCTTATAAAAGGCAACATGAACGGGATTTTCTTTTGGCCAAGTGTTTCGCGTGGGCGCGTCGTTCTCCTTGTAAACTTATCTCGTGGAGTTACTATTTCGTAGCCATTGGAGATGGCTATTTGCTGAGCCAAGTCGCGCGATTCTTCCTTTAGTTCCCTGGCAGTGCACACAGAGGTGGCTGTTCGAAACATGTTTCTCACAATCGCCCTCT